GGGGTTCAGTGTGGAGAAGAGGAGCTCAGGGGAGACCTGACTGCACTGTACAACTGCATGAAGGGAGGCTGGGGTGAGGAGGGCTTTGGCCTCTTCTCCCAGGTACCAAACAGGACCTGGGGAAACAGCCGCAGGTCGCAGCAGAGGAGGTTTGGGTTGGACGTGAGGAGGAACTTTTTCTCTCAGCGGTCAGGTGTAGAACGGCCGCCCAGGGAGGTGGGGGAGCCGCCGTCCCTGGCAGCAGCGCTCAAGAGGTGCCTGGAGGAGGAGCTGTGTGATGCGGTTTGGTGCTGCTGGTGGCAGAGGTGACGGCAGGGCGGTTGGACCGGACGATCTTTTGGTTCTTTTCCAACCTTGTGACTCTATGATTCTACGAGCCGTGGTTGGGGACACCGCACCCCACCCCTGCGCCCTCACTGCCACCGAAGGGACGGCGCCCACCCCGCGCTCACCTCGAAGATGGTGGGGGTGTATTCGTCGTCGATGGAGCGCGCCGAGCGCAGCCTGGATGCCGCCCCTCTCTCCTGCACCGTGGTCACCTCCAGCACAAAGCGCGAGCCGTTGCCCCGCGGGGCCGCCCCGGCCAGGACGAATTCCACTTTGGAGCTGTTGGCCGTGTGCAGGAGGCCGGGCGGCGCTCCGTCGCGCCCGCCGCTTCCATAAGCCGTCACCTGGGGGAGGTGTGGGTCAGAGGGACGGCAGGGAGCGACGTCCCTTCTCCGGAACGGTGTCCCCGTCCCGCCGGCCGTACCCGGAACGCCAGGCTGCCGTTGGAGAAGCTGCCGCCGGGATCGGAGTTGGGGACGCCGCGAAGTTCGGCCGTCAGCGCCGTGTGGTTCACGGTGCGGTTGATGCTGTCCCAGGAGAAGTCCGACAGATCGTACGAGGGGTAGAAAACCGCCTCCGAGGCATCGGCCTTGCTGTACTCAAACAGCTGCGGGAAGGAAGGGGAGGGGGCTGGGAAGCACCGCAGCGACCCCCTGCTCTTCTGATATCCATCGGCACCGCTCAGACCCCCCCCCAGCCGTCGCTCCCCGGGGCTCTCAGCTCGTTCCCAGCAGGCAGCGCTCAAAGCCCCGGTCAGCTCTGCACCCTCCTCAGGGCTGCAGCTCCTGGTTTGCCCGCTGCTCCGGCTGTGCCTTCCTCAAGCAGAGCAGAGCAGAGCAGAGCAGAGCAGAGCAGAGCAGAGCAGCACCTCCCAGCCCTGCTGGCCCTTCTGCAGGCTGTGCCTCCAGGGAACCATCAGCCTTCTGGGCCACCGAGGCACACGGCTGGCTTGTGGTCAACCACTGGTCATCTGTCAGCCAACCAGGACACTACTGGCCTTCGGGGCCACCAGAGCTGGTGCCACACTGCTGGCTCATGGCCAACCGGGACCCCCAGGACCTTCTCTGCAGGGCCCCCCTGCAGCAGCTCAGCCCCACCTGTACCATTGCATGCGATCGTTCCTCCCCACACGTAGGACCCCCTTCTCACCCCTGCCAACCCCCCCTGGTTCGCAGCACAGGAGATGCTCCGGATGTCATCTCTTCACACCACGTCTCTGGGAATTACTGTTGGGACCCCCAGAGGCTGCCTGCTCTCCCTCAGCAGTGAGCAGGGACACCCACAGCCCCCCCCCCCCAGTGCTCACAGCCCCATCCCCAACCTCAGCTCTGCTGGGATGGAGCACACAGCTTCTGTATGCATCCGTGCAGCCTTGTGCCACGGCCTCCCCACTGCTGGGAAGACCTCCGCACAGCTGGAACCACCTCCCCCCTCTGCCCCTCGCCCTGCTGCAGAGCCCGTCCCTCTCCCACCCTTCCATCCTGCAGGCAGCTCTCAGCTTTCCAGAACTCTCTCCTCTCCAGGCAGCACAACCTCAGCTCCCCACCTGCAGTAGTTGGGGGGGGATTCCATCCCAGCCCTCATTTCTGCAGCCCTCCAACAGTCTCCCCTGCACTGAGAACTCCACCTCTGAACGCCGGGACTCCTCCTCACCCAACCCCGCATCACCGTGCGGCTCCGCTTGGCGCTGGGGCTGCAGGATTCATTCAGGAGCAGGGAGAGGGGACCCACCAACAGCCCACAAAAACCCCACACACCTGGGGCTCCTCTCCTCCCATCCATACCTTGGTGAAGACAACAGCAGCCGCGTGCACCACGCTGCCGGGCGGCTCGATCCACACGGCGCCGGCGGGCGCAGGGGACAGCAGGCGGCTCCAGTCGATGGACAGAGCGCTGCTGGGGCTGCTTGTGGCCACCAGCAGCACCGAGGGGGCCCCGATGCTGCTCCACACGTAGTGCAGCGAGTCGCCGCGTCCCACCGCCCGCACGTGCAGAACGTTGACCGAGGAAACTGAGGAGCCGTTCCAACCGGGGTTGTACTGCATTGATACCTGTGGGATGGATGGGCCGAGGTAGGGACGGACAGACAGACAGGGGCAGGGATGGAGAGAGGTAGGGATGTAGGGACAGACGGACCAAGGGAGGGATGGATGGATCAAGGGAGAGACAGACAGACTGGGGTAGCGGTGGATGTGCTGAGAGAGGGATGGGTGGAGGTAGGGATGGACAGATGTAGGGACAGAGGGACTGAAGGAAGGACGGATGGACCAAGAGAGGGACAGACAGACTGGGGTAGGGATGGGTGTACCGAGAAAGGGATGGATGGAGGTAGGGACAGACAGGGGTAGGGTCAGACGGACTGAGGGAGGGATGGATGGAGGCAGGGATGGACAGATGTAGGGACGGATGGACAGAGGCAGGGAGGGATGGATGGACCAAGGGAGGGACAGACAGACTGGGGTAGGGATGGATGGGGGCAGGGATGGACAGAAGTAGGGACGGATCAAGGGAGGGGTGGATGGAGACAGGAACAGATGGACCGAGGTAGGGATGGATAGACAGAAGTAGAGACGGAGCAAGGCAGGGACAGAGGCAGGGCTGCACACAGGAAGGAAGGGAGGGAGGCAGGACAGGGATGGATGAAGGCGCAGATGGAAGGACTGAGGCAGGAACAGAGCGAGGCAAGGACGGACAGAAGAAGGGACAGATGGACCGAGGCAGGGACGGACAGACGGACGGACGAGCGCCGCGATTCGCGGGATCGGGGAGGACGAAAGGCCTCGAATGTCACCGCCTCCCGGCTCAGCGCTCCCCGCGGCGAAGGGAAGGAAGGACGGACGGACGGACCGACCGATCGCCGCCCCCCCCCCCCGGGGCCGCCCGTCCGCCGACCGCCACCGCCCCCAGCAGCAGCAGCAGCAGCAGCAGCAGCGCGCCCAGCGCCGGCGCCGCCATTCTCCTTCCGGTGCAGAACATCACGTGACCGCCCCCCCCAAAGGTGCCGCGCCTCCCGGAAGAGGACGCTCTTAAAGGAGCCGCTCCCCTCCCGAGGTGGGGAGGTAGAGGACACCGCCGCTCGGGTGCGCACCGTTCACCCGCCGAGCGCAGAGCCTTGCTGAGAAACGGGGCTAAAACTCCCTGCAACAACTTCAGTACGGGGAGCCAAAGGCGGCTGAAAGGCAGCTCAGAAAACGGGGTAATGGGGAGCGGATGCGGGGCAGGAGAGATGGGGACCAAGCAGGGGACACGAGGACACGTCAAATGGGGGACAGATGGCAGAGACGGAGGGAGGGGAGCAGACGGGGCACGGGGACAGACAGCTCACGGCTGTTCACAATGGAGCCCCGCGGGGTGCGATGCCTTTTATTGTTGAGGCAAACTGCAAG